ATGCACTAATTGCATTCAATGTTTCCATTTTTAATGGGTGCATTGATGCACTTCCTGTGCATCGATACACACTGAACAATTTTCTGGAAATACCCTTGATGCATCGGTACACATTGAATGTGCATCGATGCACATAACCCAAAATTCATTTTTAAGCCCGAAAATCACTCCAATTCTACTTAAAAACTTCATATTACATCCTCTACCATATTCTTAACTCTCATACACATACTTAAACTCATTTCTACTCCTTTATCACCCCTTTAAATCTCAAAATTCCTTTCTCCCTATAGAAATCAATAATCATACCAATTTTTCAATATGTTCTTAATTCAATTTTATCACTTCATATCTCTTAATTAAGTTGATGACAAGTCAAATTTATCTTCCAATTTGAGTAATGAACTCTATTCCAAGATTTCATTCAAGAACTCAAAATCTTTAATCTCTCATATATCTTTCATCTTGTTGTTTAAGAACAAATTAAGCTTTCCTTAAGCTTAATTATCATCTAGTGATCGTAATCGCACCTTTAAATCAACAAATAATCAAGAAATCAGAAACTTACCTTTGAGCTTGGAGATACGGGAGGAAGAAGAATAAGAAGAGAGTTTCCAGATAACTCTTTCTTTTCCCCCACGTGATTCATTCTTATAAAAGGAGAAAAATATCTTTCTTATCAAATAACCAATTTTCCCCTTTAATTCCTTCAATAATTACCAAAAAACCTTCAACTATATTTCCAATAAGTCATTAAACTATTTAACTATATTACTTTTATCACCAAATTTCAAAAATTCTCATTTTAGTCACTGATCCGGATTTCAGAATGTTACAAATCTCCCCTCCTTTAAAGAAAATTCGTCCTCGAATTTTTACTGAACATATCAATAAGAACATATCTTCTAATGTTCTCATGTTGCCTTTTGTACTTAACCTTTCCTTCCTTTAGTTCTTCAACTTCCTTTTTCCTTTATACATTTATTTACTGTCACTTATTATATACACAGTAACCAATAACCTCAATCCATTCATATCTTTTATCTCATTCGATGTTGTATTTTCCTCTGACCTTTCTAAAATTCCATATAATATCATTCATCACGTAGACAGTAACATCCATCTCTAATTATCTTATAACCATAACCAAACTCTTTTTCCATCATCATTTAACCAAGAACACGACTTTAAATCTTCTTTAAATATGATTTAACATACACTTTAAAGAATATTTTCACATCACCTTGCACACTTTTCTTACTTCTATATCAAAATTATCATCGACACTTATATATAACTTTTATCGTATCTGATCCTTTAAAATCAATCTTTTTCATTTCTTTATTCCATTTAATTTCCTTATCCCTTTACTCCGTTATAAATCAAAATCTCCTTGTAACATATATCATATCTTTTCTTCAAACTCTCATACTCTTTTCGTATCGCTTATACTTATCAATTTCACCTCTATTCTCATACATTCTGTAAATTCCGGTGTTCAAACTCAACATTATGACTTCGTTTGTCTTATAAACTGATCATCGATATACACATTCTCAAACTCTTCTTATCAATCCTCAGCTTTACTCAAATATACAAATCCTTATTTTCTTTACTATACCACATTACCCTGATCCAAATATATAATTTTATCCATATCCATTTCATATTTGGTTATCATATCCTGATAATATCTTATAATCTTATACTTCTAGTATATTCCCATCACATATTCTTGTTAGTCAACACTAACTTTTTTTCTTCTAAAATGCAATCTCTTATCGTATCTACACTTTTGCTTATGTACACCACTATTCTTTGTTTCAACTCATAAACTCTGGATTTCTATATCTTATATGATTGTCACTGATGCACTTATTCTTGAGCTCTTCTATAAGTACTCACCACGTCATTTGATCTTTTTAACTTTCTTATGGTGACACTTGTTCACCATATTCTATCTTATCCACATACTAACAAAACTAATTCATATCGTTTTTCCGATTCAAAACAATGAAGATCTTCTATCACTATTCTAATATGATTTCAATCTTTTGAAATCAACCTTTAATCTTATAGACACTTTCTGAGGTTTTCGCTCTTCATCCTGCCTGGCCAGGACAAGTGAATTGCTATCACCATCAGATTTGTCAGCTATCGATTCACTTCGATAATTTCTATAATCAATTTCTACTATATCATACAAATATTATTCTATTAGCAAGACAAGATACTACTTACACTATCAAATCAGAAATTTTCACTTTGAGTTAGCATGTACACATTTTTAAACCTCATTTGACTTCAGTTTAAGCCTAGAATCGGCTAAACATTAGCTCTGATACCATTAAATGTAACACCCTCAACCCGTATCCGACCCGAATACGAGTCTGAGGTGTCATATTGACTTTTCAAACTTTGACTCTTGACAAAATTCAAAGAAAATTTAAAACATTCATTAAAATAAAAACTATTTATTTACATAAATTGACCAAAATAACCAAAATCGATCAGAGCATATTCAACTCAATCAATTAGTACATGCCAACTATATTCAGATTAACCAAACACATTTAAATCATCTATTTTCTTATCTGAAATTTTGTAAGGAAAATGCGGACCTGTCTTGCTCCTCTTAGCTTCTCACTTTGCTTTCCAAAACCTACGTGTGAAACACTCACACGCTAAGTCTATGACTTAGTGAGGCATTAAACTTATAAGAGAAACTCTAACTTCTTAACCATGCTTGAACATATCATATTATGCTATCACACAAAACAATATAACATTACGTATAATCAAATATACACAGAAACATACACTCATCATTTACTTCATTAATCCTATTTCACTATCCATATTATTATCATTTATATGTGTTGATCATATCCTCTTGAACCTAACCTTTTTAACCAACATATGTTTCGTATAACCAAACAATACAAATATCATCATATGACTCGTGCAATACACATATCAACATATATCACAAAAGCATATTCTTCATATGTAATATATTTATTGTTATATCTTTGTCTAGCCCATGTAAATTTCTGAGAACTGTAGATATGTGAGTCTATGGAGGTTGTGCACTATGCTGTCACCACAACTCGTATGGGGTCCCACTAGGGGCTATGAGATTTGTCTCGAAGGACCTATGTACTGTATTTATCCTGAAGGACCACTCCTTAAGAACCATATACATATTTCAGTGGATCAAATATGTCTAAAAAGACCCTGTAAATGTTCCAAATGATACATATATGTCCAGAAGGACCACGTAGACCCTCAACTCTTGGCATGTCAACTATACCTCTAGCTCTCTTTACACATAACATGAGCATTTACAATATATCATGACACATATTCATATAATCACATAGTTCACTTTCACCTGTCTCTTATCTCTTGTGACCATATAATCATATCACTTTGTATCATATTTCACATATTCATATCACATAGTTCCTATCACTTGCATGGTTTCTCATAAACATATATATCATATCTTATTCTTATATAATCCTGCATATCATCTACGTTCATTCACTTAATCTCTTATATTCATATATCATATATGCATTTTATTCATTATATAAACATATATTCATACAAACCATACCATACCTACAACAACATATAATTCATAACAAACACATGTTCATGTTCATGAATTTATGCATAACACTATAGGAAATAGACTTGTCGCAAGTCTTATTTCCATTTTATATCATATACGATCTAATATGCACTCACCTGAGCCTCACTAAGTTCCAATCCACTTTTATGATTTCCTTTCTTTCGATCGAATCTTGACTTGATAATCGTTCTGGAACTTGTTCGTGCTCGATATCTATATAATCATACATTGACACATATCAGTATCCAATTGATATATTCTAATATATCATTTCTTGGACCAAAAGAAATGTCTATTTCAATTTCCCCTTGAAGTGCATCGATGCATTCTACAGTTTATCGATGCATTCTTTAACATGTGCATAGATGCACTACCCATACATCGATACACTAATCACCTTCGATGTTTTCATTTTAAGGGGTGCATCGATGCACTAATTGCATTAGATGTTTCCATTTTTAATGGGTGCATCGATGCACTTCCTGTGCATCGATACACACTGAACAATTTTCTGGAAATACCCTTGATGCATCGGTACACATTGAATGTGCATCGATGCACATAACTCAAAATTCATTTTTAAGCCCAAAAATCACTTAAATTCTACTTAAACACTTCATATTACATCCTCTACCATATTCTTAACTCCCATATACATACTTAAACTCATTTCTACTCCTTTATCACCCCTTTAAATCTCAAAATTCCTTTCTCCCTATAGAAATCAATAATCATACCAATTTTTCAATATGTTCTTAATTCAATTCTATCACTTCATATCTCTTAATTAAGTTGATGACAAGTCAAATTTATCTTCCAATTTGAGTAATGAACTCTATTCCAAGATTTCATTCAAGAACTCAAAATCTTTAATCTTTCATATATCTTTCATCTTGTTGTTTAAGAACAAATTAAGCTTTCTTTAAGCTTAATTATCATCTAGTGATCATAACCCCACCTTTAAATCAACAAATAATCAAGAAATCATAAACTTACCTTTGAGCTTGAAGATACGGGAGGAAGAAGAAGAAGAATAAGAGAGTTTCCAGACAACTTTCTTTTCCCCCCACGTGATTCATTCTTATAAAAGGGGAAAATATCTTTCTTATCAAATAACCAATTTGCCCCTTTAATTCCTTCAATAATTACCAAACAACCTTCAATTATATTTTCAATAAGTCATTAAACTATTAAGCTATTTTACTTTTATCACCAAATTTCAAAAATTCTCATTTTAATCACTGACCCGGATTTCGGAATGTTACTAGCTGACCCAATTCATATGGATGAACCCCCTTCACAGATTTCGCAAGAAACTAACTACTGGAGACCTTCAAGTATCGGTACAATGCACTATCAATTATCTCCATAATTCAACAGAATCGTCATCCGAATCAAGAACTGGCAGATTATTCGAAGTACAGACATGTCCGTTTAAGAGCTTAGAAGCATTAGATTTAATATCCAAGTGACGCATGACAAACTATACAACGAACATGAGATATCTTTATTTCGTTACCTAACCAATAAGATTCATGAAAGCAACAAGTAGCTTTCGCTGGACAAATTCAAAAACACCGAGCCAGGCCAAAAAAATCGAAGATGTGCTCTATTATTATGAAAACAGGTGTTAATTGGAACAAAGCTATAAATACCAGGTGGAGATAGTTGCTCGTCTAAGTGTCAATATTGTTGGATTTCACTAGTTGAGACATCACACCTCCAGGATAAGTCAAAGCCATAACATAATTAAGATATAAGCAGCTTTATCCGAATCTCTGGTAACCATTTTACTTATTTACTTCATCTATTGTATGCAAATGATATGCTTGAGACGAATGTTAGTGTGAACTTCAAAATTGCTCTGGCTGGAATGCAGTTTAACTCAAATCATGAGGCCAATTTGTTTTGGTTCTCACCCTTCTGAAGCAAGCAGACTCACCTTCTCGAGTTGCGTTGGCCAGTCTACTCCAAGAATCAAGGGGTTCATCTCCATCGCAATTTGAAAGTCTAACATTGATGCAGAAACGACCCCCTTCTGATTTGGTGCGTATCTCACAGGCCACATCCCATTCAAATAAGCCATGGACTGATTCTGGCCCCGGTCAACAAGGTTTTGCCTGGACCTCATACCAGCCAGTTCCAAACAAGGTTTTATCAATCTCTTCATGTAAACATCGAGACTATTGTTCAACAAATCCGCACAATCTACTGAGATATTCAATCCTTCCATCACCAACCTTTTCCTCAAAGAACCGGTATCAGGTAGTTCACCCCTGCAACAAGTCTCGGAAGCAGATGTCAATCCATTCCATGGTACTTTTCGCATTCCTTTAGCGTTCAAAGTGATGCCAAGCGGACCTCTCACAGGACTCTTACTGTAAATGCTCGGACTCCCCGTAGCTTGATCAACTTCTTCTCCATGCTCAACGGATCCAGGTGGTCTGCTACCCAAAGAAAGCAACTCAGTAGCACTCTGTTGTTCTTGTACTTTAGGAACTGCATCTTCACAAGCAGTGTTATGGCTCTTCCCATGAGGGCCTAAAGGACTTGGGCGGTCCCATAACTTGCCATCGAAAAGATTCGGAGTCCTACTCTTACGAGAGGATTGAGGAAATTCTTTGCACAGTGACTGAAGATTACTGCTTTGATACCCATTCGACACTTTAACACTTAAAGGACCTTTCAACTTGTTCGCTATCAGTGGAGGAGTCTTTGAAAGTTAAGCAATTCTAATAATTGATCCGAGGAGATTATTATGAAGACGAACATTTTTTTCTCCCTATCGCACCGATGCATAGCTTATCAAACTCAGGTTTGCAAATCTTAAGGCTAAAAAATCTAGTGAGAAGATTGAAATACTTCTCGGCTTTTATGCTCCCGATCTTCCTTACAATCTGAGATTTCAGCTCCGAAGTATGTACTCTAGAAATTTTATGACCGGCAGGCGTTTCGGTTCCAAAGTCTAAAATTTCATCCAAAAAAATGGAAAACCGTCAATATCCATGAAAAATCAACTTAATTCTCAACCAAAAAATATCAAAACCCCAATGTCATGTCATTTATTAACATAGGAAGTCAAATGGTGATAAAAAACAGTTCCAATTCCAAAAGTACTGCAATTCAAGCAAAATTAACAAAACCCAGATTAAAAAAAGAGAAAATAACCTCAGTGACCAAAAATGCCTTATAATATACGATTTTAACCAACTTCTTTTGGATTTGCCAAAATGACCAACTAAATCACAATGCGATCGATAATTCGCAACGCGATCTCCGGTATCGCAAATTAGTTTCCAGATTCGCAACGCGATTCTGACTATCGCATTGCGATTTTCCAAATTCGTGTTGCGATTACGTAAATCGCAATGCGAATTAGGAAAATCGCAATGCGATTACGTATTCGCATTGCGATTTACATAATTCGCATTGCGATTTACGTAATCGCATTGCAATTTTCCTAATTCGCATTGCGATTTATGTAATCGCATTGCGATTTTCCTAATTCGCATTGCGATTTATTCGCATTGCGATTTACGTAATCGCATTGCAATTTTCCTAATTCGTGCTTCGATTTACGTAATCGCAATACTGAATTTCAAATTCGCAACTCGATTTCTGAATTCGCAGCAGGTTTTAATTTCGCAACACAAATGTTTTGGGTATATAAATACCCAGCAGCAGTAACTCATAACCTAAATCCCTAAATCGCAACTCATTCCATCTCCATCTATCACTCTCTCCGGCGATATCCGTTCCTATATCCAACGACATCCTTCCCTATCCGGCAACAGGTTTTAGTTTCGCAACTCGTTTGTTTAGTAAATTAATTTACAATAATGAAATCATCTAATGTTGATCATGTTTGGATAGATTTGTGTTTTGGAGGGTCATGGGAGAATGTTCATGGTGTTTTACAATATATGCCTTTACCCATGAATCTTCAACTAAAAACTATCATTAAAAAAGTTAACTTATGAAACTCTAATGTTACGTGTTGCAAATAAATTGAATTTAGAGCCCCTAAGTGGATTTAGGCTATCTTATCAGAGAAATGGTAAAGTTTATTTGTTAACCGACAATGAAGATGTTGAACGATTCATTGCTTACATTAGTGTTTCAAGTGATGATGTTACATTGTATGTTGTTGAACCTAAAAGTAGTGAAGTTGGGTCAATAGCGGGTAGTAATCAACTAAGTTTTTCAACCCCAGTTTATGGTGCTCAAAATTTAATGGTTCCACCACAATTTCATCACCAAGCAAATATTGTTTCACCACATTTCCAATACCAAACACAATCTCAAAACCCACAACCTTTCCCTAATCCAAATCCCAATCAACTTTCAGCACCAAATTCCGGTTTTCGTATTGACCAGTTAGACGATGATGAGCCAACAAAAAAAATTATGAGTACTAGTCAGTATTCGAAATTTGATCTTGGTCAATACCCGGACTTTGATCTTGGTCAATACTCGGATTTTGATGATTTTTCAGAAGAAGAAACAGACCCTGCGTGTAATGATTTTGATATTGGTCAATACCCGAATTTTGATGATGAAACAGCCGTTGCCGAGGAATATGTTGTTGATGATAATGAGGAGGAAGTTACGACTGTAAATGAACATGTTGAACATCCATTTTGTAATTCATATAACACTGAAGAAGAAAAAGAAGAAGAAGAAATCCCCAAAGAAAAGTCCCCGAAGAAAATGCCACGGGAGTATAACTGGAATATGCCAAAATTACTTCAGATACCGGAAGAAGAGTTGGTAAAGATAGCAGTTGATTGTCACACAAAAATTATTCGTATCAAGAAAGATGATTGTTTTGATACAAAGGAAGACTTGAAGATAGCTTTGTATACGAAATGTGTGGAAGATGGCTATCAACTAAAAGTTAACAAATCAAGCAAAGATCGTTTCGAAACAATGTGTATAATTGACAAAAACTGTATGTGGAGTATGATTGCAAAGAGGATAAAAGATTGCGAAATGTTTCAAGTTAGGACTTTTATTGATAAACATACATGTTCAAGAACCCAAGTTTCTCCTCACCATAGACAGGCAAACAAAAAGGTGTTGGGTGGTTTTCTGGCTGAGTTAATGTTTTTGAATGGTAGGGTATATCGGGGACATGAAATTATGACTGACATGAATGCTCGGTTCAAGATTAGTATCTCATATTCTCAAGCTTGGAGAGCCAAATGTTATGCCTTGGAATTGTTGAGGGGGTCGCCAGAAGCATCGTTTGCCCAACTGCCGGCTTATTGTCACAATTTAAAGCTGAAAAATCCTGGGTCGGTAACTCATATCAAAACAGATAGAGATGGACGCTTTGAGTTGCTGTTTATCGCCATTGGTGCTGCGGTTAGTAAATCAATATAATTTTGTTGACTCATTTTTGTTAGTTACATGAATTTCACATTTAAATGATTATATTTCTTGTGTATATGATTTTGTAGATTCGTTCGTTTATTAATTACATGCGCCCAATTATTATAGTTGACGGAGCACATTTAAAAGGTCGATACCTTGGAGTAAACTTATTAGCAGTAGCCATTGATGCTAACAATGGGATACTGCCAATAACTTACGGGGTTGGAAAATCTAAAACCTCTGATTCATGGACATGGTTTATGGGGCATCTTAGGGATTGCATAGGTCCTATTAGCAATCTGACAATCATATACGATAGGGCAAACTCAATTGACAACGCTGTTAGAAGGTGTTTCCCAGATGCTTTTCATGGACTTTGTGGTGTTCATTTGTATAGAAATCTAAAATCAATGTCTGCTGGTATAAAAAATCACAAATGGATATACTGGAAGACTGTAAAAGCTTATCGGGAAGTGGATTTTAATAAGCATATAAAGTGTTTAAGACGTGTTTTGCCTCAGTGTGCTCAAACACTAGAAGATGTCGGGTTTGAAAGATGGTCAAGAGTACATCAACTTGGAGCAAGATATGGTTTCATGACGTCTAATAGTGCATAATCAATCAACGCTCTAAGTCGTCATTCCCGGAAATTACCCATTACTATATTAATGGAGTTTTTTTGAGCCTCTATTCAACAGTGGTACTACAAGAAAAGAAACCATGCAGGTATTATTTCTTTAAATTCGTAACTTATCATATATTTTACTAAGTATTATTTATTTAAATTTACAGGAACATTGGAACATCGTGTTACACCATGAACAGAAAAAAAGATAACGAAACGTGTTGTGAAGTCAACGTCATGGAGAGTTGAACCATGTTCAAACACTTTGTTTGAAGTACTGGATAATAACTTAAATGGGCTTGTCGATCTAAATGCAAAGACGTGTAGTTGTATGAAATGGCAAACATCTGGTTATCCGTGTGGCCATGTTATAAAAGTTTCTCTTCATCTAAACCAAGATGATTCAAGCGCATACGCTATGGATTGCTACACTACAGAAGTATATCGACAGACTTATGGCGAGATTGTCTACCCTATTCCACATCCTTCTGAGTGGGACATACCAGATGACTTACAAACAGTTTTGCCACCAGCCATGGACAGAAGGCTACCTGGCCGACCAAAAAGTCACGATCGTATACCGTCTAAGGGTGAAGAGAAGAATAGATCGACATGTAGTCGGTGCAAGGAAAGTGGTCATACAAGGTTGACATGTGGATCACCAGTGCCATCATAATCATCTTTTCCTCTACCAAAATATGGATCCTCATCAAAATCCAAAGCTCATATGGTGTCAAGCAAAAGGCAATCAAAATCGCAATCATCTTTAAAATCCTAATCACAACCGGCTTCACCTTTTGGGGCTGTTAACTTAGGTGATTTTTAAATGCAAACATTGTATTATGTGGATTTTATGTGTGAACTTTTAACATTTTCAGTTAGGCATGTATTAGTAACTTGAGTTTGAAAATTGCTATGATCTGTTCAGTTGTTATCACTTATTAGGCATTCATTTGACTATCGCAACACGGAAATGACGTTCGCAATCATCTTAATGTCTATCGCAACGCGGAAATGACTATCGCAATGCGAAATGAAAATCGCAACGCGAAATGAAAATCGAAACGAGAGAATCGCAATGCGAAATGAAAATCGCAACGAGGGAATCGCAAAGCGAAATGAAAATCGCAACGCGAATTTAGTTTCGCGTTGCGATTTTGTCGTTGCGATTCTCTCATTGCGATTTTCATTTCGCATCGCGATAGTCATTTTTGCCTTCAACATAATGCAGATTGAAATCAACAAAATCAACCATTACATTTCAATCAATTAAACAAACACAAATAAGAATTATGTTCACATCAATTAAACAAATCAACTTTTACAAATCATCTTTTACAAATCAATTAAACAATCAAAAAATAAGCAATAATTCTTATTTCCTCATCTACTATTGAATCAACTTTTGCAGCCATACATCATTTTCACGCAGCTCACTTCTGAGATTAACCTGCATAAACCAAACATTTGCTCAAACAACACTTTCTACACATCTAAAACCTACAAACAACAAATTATTGAATTCTAGGTACTTAACCAAACATTTTCAAACCACAAGCCTATAAACTTACCAATTGTTTATGGACATTTTTATAACGCGGATGCAGGTAGGCAGCGTCTCGTATATATCAATCTAGTCATATAATGCCGAAACCACAAGCCTACTGTAACTCTATTTCTATTGGTGGGAGGTAGATACTTTATACTTCCTGTGATCAAACGCTCCAACACCAAGCATACGAGAGGACCATAATCCCCTCTGGGACCTTTCATTTGTTGTGGTGCGGTCTCGTCTCTGCTAACTGTAATATTGAGCTTCTTTGGCTTCTTGTTTCCAGAACGAGTCCAATAATTTATCGCATCCAAGAATTTAGCCAAATGAAAGCTCCATCCCTTAATAATATCTCTTAAATCAGCCAATGATATGTAATTTATCATGCTGTCATATACTATTACCTTAAGGGATGGGAACTGAAGCTCGACGAGAAGCCAATGTTTACGTTCCA